AAGGAACACGGATAATCAAGAATTTTTGAAGGGCCCAACCTTCCCTTAGATACAAAGTCAAAGGCGCATAGAAAACTTTTGGTAAAATTTGCACCACGTTGGTTGAGACTTTCTCCCATTCCCGAACGAGCGATTAAATGAGCGTGTTAAAACTTTTGTATTATTAAGAACAGGCCCTTCCCTCAAAAATACCTGAAAAAGTAATCCATCGGATTCCTAATTGGTAACAAAATTCATAAGGGCTAGACATTTTCCAGCAGGTTATGGCTTTGCGCCGTTATGGCCGCTCATAAAGCTATTTTTGTTAACTATTTTTGTTAACTCTCCTTAACTAAAAATTATAATTTAGTACTAATTAAAAAATGGAATATATTTTGTGGAATCGCAATGAATTTGACATAATTTACAATTGTACCGGAATTAATGTGGATGTTATCCCATTTGAAAAAAGAAGATATCCAATAGCTGCAATTATTTGTATTTTACTTGGATTTATATATTATGTAGATTTTTTGCCTTAAAAATTTTATTTCTAAATTTAAAATTTAAGCCTTTATATTTCCCTTGTCTTTACTCTTTTTGCAAGAATAGAAACAGAAATCCTTGTTATAAACTTTTAATTTATCTTTCAATTTTGGATCTATCCATTCTTTGGATACCAACATTTGCAGTTGGAATTTCTAGTTTAAACGGCGTTGTTTACTGTACTTCCCCAATTTTTACATACATTGCTGGGTGTTTTTGTTTATGTAAGTTTTTATTTTGGGGTGTCAATTGAGTTAATTTTGAAAGCTTTGAGACGTTTAATTAAACACCCATCCCCTGCAGACCTGAATCTTGAAAGTCCGTAACGGGTTTGGAATAGCAAGACTATAAAAAATAATTTTTATAATGCTCTGCTGAGTAGAGTGCTTCAAAGCTCGAAAAAAACGAAATTTCGATTAATTTCGGTTTTTCAGCGGTAGGGTCATATTTTACTGAGTAATATTTTAGATACATCTTAGATCAAGAATTTCATTCGGATCACTCTCCATAATTTCAGAATCAAAATATACATACATATTTGTATAATTTAGATTTATGGGCTGCTGAATGTTCTGCTGATTTGGTTTTACATTATAAAAAATATACCTATATATATAAATAATTTTTTTTTAGATTTTGGGAATCAATCGTTGTCTCGAAATGGCATTTCCAAAAATTTTAAAAATATTTTTTCACGATAATCGTGTCTATATTTGGATTATTTTTAGTAATTTATATGGACTTTACTGGCTTTTATTTAGACATCCTTATATTTTTAATGGAACAAATTTTGAATTTTTCTTTGATCCTTTAATTGGATATAGAGATTTTAGAACAGAATTAGTTAATTTTAAATTAATTAATTTATCTAATTTTAATTTTTAGTTTAAAGACGATTTAAAAATATATACTATACACAACACAATTTTGGCTATTGGATCTCCTTTAATTTATTTAATTTTTTCACTTTTTGTTTTCTTCAACGCCCATGAATTAGTTGGCAGTATTTCGAAGGAAGAAAAAATGGTTAAAATTAAATACCCAATTTACCCAAATAATTGCCCCCACTCTAATTACTCCTCGAAGTGTAAATTCTGTATGCAAAATTTGTATATCATATTACCCTCTAATTTTACAAATTAAGAGTCAAAATTTTTAAAAATTTCAAAGAAAAATTGCTAAAATTGAGGACAGATATTTCACATCCCAAAAATTAGTTACTATTCTCGAAAATCTAACCAAATATAACTATCAATATATCTATTGATATATTGATAGTTGTCCTCATTTAAAGCAGAGGTGGGTCGGAATTCCGATTTCCGACTTCCGATTTCCGAAAAAGAAATTTGATTTCCGAGTTCCGACTTTTGAGCCTTTTCGATTTCCGACAGTTCCGATTTCCGAGTTCCGACTTTTGAGCCATTTCCGATTTCCGACACCTCTGAATGTTCCGACCCGCCTCTGATTTAAAGAGAACTTTAAAAAATACAACTTTTGACTTGAAGATTGTTTCTAGTAATTTTTTTCTAGAATTTTTTTCCGTTTTAAGGTCTTTCTTCAAGTATTTATCATTTCATTGTTAAATACATCAGAGGGTATTACCTATGCTTACATTATGAATAATTCGAATCACGGAATTTTTCCATTGATGATGGCACATTTTTCTTGGTGATTGATTAAATTTGTTTATATAATTTTTATTTAATTTTTAAGGTTACATATTCACGGTATGTAAATGGTTAAATAAAATTTTTGTTTTAAAGTCCAAATTTAAATATTTCTTTAAATTACGTAGGTTTCCCTCCAGTTATTTATTTAACATTAAACAAAACTGTTCGGAATGACACAAAAATTCTTCTTGGAAAATTTTTTGGGTTATTTAAAACAAATCAGAATAAGGTTGGAAATATGGTTGGAAATCCCTAAAATGGATGGTAGAAATATTATATTCGTTTACTAAAAAAGAAAAAAAATATCTAGATATTTCTGATTAATTACAGTTTAAGATGATAAATAAATATGTACATTATTTATTTATTTTGTATATTAATGTATTTCCTAATTTTTCGAATGAAGGACTTTCAAAGTTATATACAGTGCTTATAAGCTCATACCAAAATTCGTCTCGTACTCGTACTTTGGTACGAAGTACTCGTACTTTGGTACGAAGTACGAGTACGAGGTCAAAAAATGGGGTGGTACGAAGTACGAGTACGAGCAAAATTGAAATTTATAAGCAATGGTTATATATATTTTTAATTTTTATAAAAGTGCATGATCAAAGAAAAATCCTCTAAATTAGTCATGAAATTATAATTTGTTATTAATGGATATTATTTTGTAGAGTCGATTAAAATAATTAGCTTTAATTCTGTTTTTTTGTTGTCTGTTTAAGAACTTTAGGGCAATCAGGTATTTTTGTTTTCAGTGATCAGATACATCGACACTATAGATATTAAAAATATTCTTTCGTTTTTCGTGATTTTAGTGATTTTCATGGTTTTCGTTTTCATTGAGAGCAGAATTTCATTTTCGCCCATCTCTGAACGACATCCAATATACCTATGTACTATGTTAATTTTTGAAAGTAGAGGTGATCAACTCTTTAATTTTTTCCTAGTTATATCTTTTAATTGTTGAAAATTTAAAACAAAATCTAACCCAAATTTTATCTACTAAAAATAAAATAAACATAGGTTAACAAGAAAAAATAAATTTTTGGAATCTTTACATCCTTTAGATACTCAGAGCAATTGTTTTTAAAAATAAAAATGTTGATAAAACACCCAATTTCAGAAATGCTTCTAATTTAAACTTACATAAAATGATAAAAAAGTGGAAGCATAGAGCTTCTATTAGAGTTTTTAAAGTAATAAAAAATCAAATAAAAATAACGGATTACTTTGCTATACTAATAATTCATCTTAAAAACTCTACTAAAAAATTAAAATATGCTTAGGGAATTAGAAAATAAAAAATAGGTACATCAAAATAATTTAAATCCTCATATTAATCGCATACTTTGCATGTTTGCAATTAATTTTTTACGAGATTAAATTTACCGTTACAGTGAAATCTTTACATAACGACAAATTTATGGCTTAAACTTGTTGACAGTAAAAAGGAAAAAGTCCCATCCTCTGATTAGAGGATGAGTCATGAGTAAACACCTAATCTGGAGTCATATCTGACTAAAACACACGTTATTGTGCAGAGATTTCCCTGTTTAACTGAAAATAATTTTCTCTACAATTTTGCCATTTATCTGAGGATTTATACATCAAAAGTGATTGAAAATAATTTAAATATTTCACTTAAACCCTCAGGATCTCTCGATCTTCCAAAAATCATTTTAATCCCTTAATATCCTTCTCCCTCTTATCCTCGTTACTAACCATGCATGTACGAAACTCAAAAATTTTTCAAACGAGACGAAACAAAATTTTCTGAAAATCGTTTCGCTAACTAAACGAAACAGGAAAAACAACTAACGGAAAGTACGTTTCGTACATGTATGGTACTGACAAACTCAATACTCGAAACCCGAACTTTTTCGTTACGAAACCAAGTTCGAAGAAAATTATGGAACCCGACAGAAAGCCTTTTTAAAAAAACCGACCGCACGTTCGATTTCTGTTAGGTTTTGCTAAACTCTTAATAAATCCCATTTTAAATATAAAAAAAAGTAAAAAGTAATAAAAGATAGAGAAAAGTATTTCAGAGAATATAACAAAGATAAACAAAAATACCAAAATATGCTATAAGGTTGATTAATACGAAAATATTTGCCAACCATTGCCCACAATTTATCCATGCTTCACGAAGATCGTCAAGGATGTCTCTTTTTTTGCGAATTTTCATCTCAAAATTCATTGGAAAATTTCTTGGAAGGAACGAATTTTTATTTATAGTATCTTCACCAAAAGTTAAAAAATTTCCTTTTAAAGTAGATGAACATGAGTCTGTTCCATCTTAAAATTTGTTTTTTATTGCAATAAAGATTTTCTTTATATTATTTTACAGGGCGACAATAAAGATATGGGGCACACATTTTATGCCTTAACTTTATTCAAATATAAGATAATGGGATGAAATAAGCTTATAGGATAGAGAATTAAACGAGGAACAAGAATAATGAAGAATTTTTGAACGGTCTATCCTTCCCTCCTTCCCTCTATCCTTCCCTTGGAACAGCTGCTAATTATAGACCCAATACTAACTTATAATTAATTTTTAAATTTTTTACTCAAAAACCTTTGAATTTTTTATCTGATTTTTGCTGTTCTGTAATGCCCTCTTTAATTTTCTCGACACTACTTTTTAAATAAATATCTCCAATTTCACTGTCATTCTGATTTGCATCAGCATTATTAGCAGAATTGATAGTCAAATTCTTATCCGAATTATCTTTTTGAATTTCTTCATTTTTATCCTTTCCTTTAGTATTCTTGCTCATTAAAGAAACAGAACGACGTTTACGATCCTGATAAGAATAATCTGGAGATGGTGAACGTCCATCAGAATTAATACTTTCATCATCAGAATCTTCTAATAGTATATGTGGCTGATAGCCAGATGGTTGTCCTGGTTGTGGATTGTAGCTTCGATTATAAAAAGACATTGGATCAGAAGAAGACGGCATACTTGTATAACTAATATTGGTAAATGAATTGGCCTGCTGAAACCACGGTATTGGAGGACGTTGATGTGGATGAGGGTTGTGAATAATGTTTTGAGGTTGTATTTGTGGATTAAAATGTGGCCCCATCTGTTGTTGTAAATTTGGTCGTATCTGTGGAGGCAGTATTTGTGGTGGTACTTGTGGTCGGATATGGTGAACTAAATTTGGGTGCATTTGCGGAAGCATTGGCTGTACTGGTTGTGGTTGTATTTGCGGTTGTTGTACGACGACTTGATTTCCCCCGTTATTTCCACCATTATTTCCCCCATTATTCTGTCCATTTCCTCGCCCAAATGGCCGAAGATTTCTAAACCAAGTCAAATCAGGAAAAGTGCAGTGAATTCTATATATGTATTCATAAATAGGGCCAGCAATATAGATAAGATACAAAAATCCAATTGCTAAATAACCAATTAGGGTATCTAACTTTTTGACTGCCTCATCACCAAATATAGCTTTCAATAATTCTCTTAATAATTTGCCTTTACTATTAGATGAACGTCTTTTGCGGCGAGTATTTTCCGAATTATATTGAACCATATTTATATTTTGTTTTATATTGTTCTAAAAAATTTAATTAAATTTACCTATATTAGAATTTGATTAAAAATTCAAATATTTTTTTATATTTTATTTAAAATTAAATTCAGATAAGTCTAATCATGATAAGGAAATTTAATTTTAATAAATATAGGTTCCGGATATCCGAAGATAACCAAATATCCGACAACTTTACTATCCACCTTTCCGTAAAGGGAATGAGCGGATCATGAATCGACATGTCTACATTCTCTCATTTACCGTATATCCGTTAATAACTACCCTGGGTAATTATTGTTTCGACCTTCCGCTGTAGGGAGTAATTAATCGAGGAGGGTAATTATACGAGGTTGGAAATTTGAACGTGTTTTAGGGCATTTGTTTGGGGGTAATTATTGTTTCAATCTATCGCTGTATGGGTAATTAATGGAAGTGGGGTAATTATTTGAGGGAGGGCAATTAATACAGGTTATACGGTAGTCAAAAAAATTTTTTACTCACCTCATAAGAATCTGACCAGAACACGTTGTTTAAATTCTTGTTAAAATTTGATATATTTTCTTCCAAATTTTCAGATAATATAGCTTTCTTTGTTTCTCTTAAATTTATATTTATCAATTTTAAAATTTCACTAGAATTTCCATTAAACTCTCCACCGTTACTACTTTCTTCAATTATTTTTTGCAACATTTTTTCTCTTTTATTTTTAATTTTACCCAATTTAATTATTTTAATAAATTTATTTATTAAAATAAATAATTGTTTAAATTCGTTTTTGATGTATTCAGCGGTTAAATTTTGATTATTCCAACTTTTAATAATTTTTATCAATTTAATTAACAATTTTTTAGCATGTTTACTTCCATGAAAATAAATTGGAATAAATATTTTATTTTTATCTTCTTCATTATTTTGATTAATAACTGTCGTTATTTCAAACATTAAATTAATAATTTGATTAAATAAATGATTAAATATTTCCCAACTTTTTTTACTTTTGTTGGCCTTCTTTTTAATTGAATTAATCAAATCTTTAAAATAGCCCAATTCTTTTTGGTTAATTTGTTTGGAATTGTTTCCTTCGAAAATTGAAGTAGTTTGGAAATCAAGTTGTTCAAATTTAAATTTTAAATCGGAATTTTTCATTGTAACCTTGTTTAACAATTTTTTAACCTCTTTCTCTGTTAACTCATCAAGTTTCTCCAAAATTTGATCACTCCATATTAGATTAACACAAATCAACAGCAAAATTAATTTTAATGTTAAAAGCGGCGGTTTTAACATTAGAAAATTTTAACTTTATTTTTATAATTTCTAAAATTTTAAATAAAAATTTAAATTTGTATATATGTATATGAATATTAAATTATATAAGGTGAGAGAGAGTGTCTAATTAAAAAGCGTCTTGCTATATGAATACATATTTTCAAAAGGTGGGAGAGAGTGTCTCTGCATTATATTTTATTACAAGATTTCATGCCACATTTAAAAATTTTGAAAGAGAGTGAGTGAGAGTGTATGAGTGAAAGTGAGGGGTAGAGGGTGAGCGGTCGCATTGCATTGCGTCTCATTGATTAAAGCTAGTCAATCTCTCGCCCTTTTGAAAGAAATAATTAAAAATATTTAAGAGTATCGACTTACAAATAAGTTAGCGGATCCGGATCTCCGAAGATCTCTAACTATCCGCCAACTTTACTTACAAATAGCAGGTCTGAGATTTGGAAGACATTTTACGGAAGACGTTTCCCGATAGCTAAAAACTAATTTTTAGTTTCTTCTACCGTCGCTACGCATTCGGTAAAAATATTATATGTACTATAGGTAATTCTAAATTCTACACTGATAAACGATATGAAAATCATGCTAAGTTGATACATAGTATAAAAATATTATTATTGAAAAAAGTTGTAGGTTATTAGAGGCCGGCCTGTGAGGTTCGTATGAGAATCTAGAGATATCTCAAGAAATATCCATCTCGATAAGCTAGATTTTTGTTCGAGATTTCGTCTCAGTCCGGTCTTAAGTTATTATTAATAAATTATGTATAAAACGTAGCTGGAAAATACCAATGTGTTTTTATAAAATATTAGCTTTTAATTTAATATTTAATCCATTAATTTTCGATTTATAATTGTAAAAATGGACATTTATTTTTTCTATTAGGACAAACACTAACAGGTACACTTACTTTTAGTAATAATATTGAGGGAAATGACCGCCACCCTCTCAACAACAATTCTTTTTTTATTTACTTTCACGTATTTACTCACATTTTTTCTTTTAATAAAACAATTAAAAAAGTTTTTTTTATTATTTTTATATTAAGAGGACAAGAATATCTAAATGAAAATTAATTAGAAAATAATTAGGTATTAATAATACAAAGAAATTCACTTTAAAGTAGTTGGATTATTATAAGATAATCGAGGAATGTATTAATTATTCCTTCTTGTAAATTTTCACTCTATAAGGGAATTTAATATTAAATTTGTTATACTAATATTTCGTTATCAATTAGAGGCATCTCGACCCTCCAATTTTTGACCAGCTACACCTTCAAAATAGGATTGGCGGATTCTAGGTATTATTGAATATCTGGATCCGATATCCGAACCCAAAATTTCTGGATATGCGGTCTTATTTTGGATTCGGATATCTGGATCCGCCAACCTTACTTCGGAATTAAAAGTATGTTATACATCGGATCGTTATTTTGCTTACATTATAGCTTACACATTCTTTTACATAGTTTTTACTTATGTATCTAGCCTCTGAGTGGGGAGAGCTACTTTATACCCCATATTTATAAAAACCCTGAATTTTACATACACTTTTACAGGCCCTAGAGGTATATGAATCAACATTTGACTGTATTTTAAAATGCAGCTATAACTGTCCAGAGTTATTTGTATAACCTTGCAGTTGTGCTCTTAGCTAGCTAGGTTCAACTCTCAGTACGTGTTAAAGACTTAAGGGTTGGTAAAACCCTTAAAGACTTAGGGGTTGGTTAAAGACCTTTCCTTATTCTATTAAAAATCGAAAAATTTAACAAACTTCCATTTGGTATTATTAATTATTTTATTACTTTAAAAAACAAAATTACTATAAGTAATGCTTATACATATTTAGTATATTTTACTAAAAACGCTATTTTTCATTCACCTTTAAACCCCCCCCCTTTGCTTTTATAAATTTTTCGGCGACTTTATGTACATTATTATTTAAAACATAATATTTATTTATAAGCAAACAATTAAAAATCTAAATAAATATTTACTTTTATATTTTTATTAAGTGTGAGAGGGCGTGTAATTATTATATATTTATTTGTTGATTAAATTAATTGTTGTTAGTTGTTTGTTGCTAAATCAGTCATTTCTCATGGTAAAAAAAGAAAAGGGTTTATTAGCTTCTTTAACAACAGACATTGTTTATTTAGTATATTCCCCAAATAAATATTTTTATAGCTAGAAATAAGCCTCTAGGTTAATAAATATTTGGTAAAATCTCGATTAGAAGTCTGGACCGAGTTGAGCAGACCTAGGAGAAAAATGATAGCAGGGGTCAGCTTCGCTTGGTGAAAATGAATATCATGACCTATTAAGTTCTGGGAATTAATAGGTTATCAAATCTCGATTAGATGTCACTGTCTGGATAAAATATTATCAAGGTCAGCTTTGATTGTAGGAAATTTCCTTAGGAACCGAAATGCCCACACCTACATATTCTGAAATTTACTTTTGATAAGAATTAAATTTTAATAAATTTTTAAATTTTTACAAAGTAATAAAAATTAGAAAATAACTATTTCTAAATTCTCGACACTTTCGATTAAAAAATATTTCAATTAATTTTTTAAAATTGCTTTTAATGGTTCTTCAACAATATTCTGTTTTTGACCATATAACAAAAGCAAAAAGGGATTCTTTTGATACTGAAGGTATTCGTAATTATTAAATTATCTCGTATATCCGATATTTTATGCCAAGGCATTTCAGGGCCTGAAAATAATTATCTCTTTAAATAAATCATTGGGTACTTTTACGTTATCCATCTAATGTTCTTTTTTACTTCCTTTTCTCCTAAAAGTTTCATAATGGTCAGGGATAGCCGTTAATTTGATCCATGAGAAAATCAAGGAATAGAAAAACATTGATGTATAATACATAATATTCTTGTAATACATATAGTACATAATATTCTTGTTTATTAGGATCAACCTCGATTTGCAAAGATTCACTTCAATCGTATAACAACAAAATAATTTCTTTGGAGAACGAAAAAAATAATAAAGAAAATTTTAATAATGAAATTAACAAAGTTAAATATCCACAAGAAGAATCGGGAAAATATTATGAAAGTTGGCTTAACCATTCACCTGCTTGGTTAAAATTTTTTAATTTTAGGGAATAAATTTCTCTTTTTTAGGGATCATTTTTGTTCTGTCCTCACTTCCCTTTATGCTCTTTTTATTATAGTTTTCGCTATAGTAGTAGAACTTTCTCAAGAATTTACTTCAGATGAATGGCTGGCAGAAACGGTTTTTCCCTAAAAAATTTTTTCTCAAAATTTTCTTTTCAAGATTTTCTTTTCTTATATGTATGGGATTGGTATATTATTTATTTTCTATTGCTATTTATTTAAAGTCAGTCACCCAACATGGATTACTAATTTAATATTTAAAAAATGTTCAATATTTAAAAAAAATAATAAAAAAATATTTGAACGAATTAAAAATGATGGTGCTGGTTCTCTATATTTACGGCTTGGAACTTTATGTAAATAATTTTTCTATGATTTATAAAAGACATAGCTTATGATTTATAATTAGGACCAAGCATAAGATCAACATTTTAGAGGAAACTCCTTATTTTGAGGCCCGATTCCCAAATCTAGCATTTATATTATGTAAGAAAGAGAAAGATCCAGCTGGTTAGCGTTTAAAACGCTCACTAGGTGAAGGTGAAAGCAAGAGAAGGTGAAAACAGCCCCCGGTAGCTAAGTTGGTAGAGGACCTGTACATGGTGAGCGAAAACGCCTAGAACAACTGCCAAAAGTTCAAGTCCCTTTGGCCTATCTCCGATTTTTACCGGATTAATTTAACCTGGCCTTCCATTACAGATAGTTTAAAATCATAATTTTTAATTGAATTTATAAAAATAAAAATTTTTTAAAATTTAAAGGTTTTGGAAGTAGTGGAATTGTTTTATTCTGTTTAGAAATGTTTATCTGTCATTCAAATAATCAGTGTTATAATTATCGTTTTGTTAATTGGCTATTGGCTGGGTTTTTTACTTTCATTCAAATGCATTTTATTTTCTGCAATTCAAAAGTTTGTTTTAAAGCTAAAATCATAACCAGGGTTGTTGAACCATGTCGTATTTCAAATATTTAGACTTAAATCAAAGCAAAACGGCGACCATATGATCATGAAAATTTAGATTAAAGACTATAGACTAGATTTCGAATCGAGCCAGGCCAAGGATTTCTGGGTTCAATAGTCCGGAAACGGTAATTTGATAAAATCCGGAATAAATGACGATGAGAGACTATAGCAAAATTTAAAAACATTTAAATAAATCTAATATAAAGTTAGTTGTTGGCGATTCAAAAAACTTAATAAAATTTGGAACGATGCATTTATTATCAATTAATATTTGGACTTGGCTCCGTTTTGTAATTGCAAAAAATGCTGATTTGGATAAAAAAGCTCCGGAATTACAAATAAAAAATAAATGGCAGAGAATTTTACTGGACAGCAGCAGTAGTGAAGAAGAACAATTATTTTTTAGTGAAAATAAAAATAATTTGAGCTTTATTGGATTGGAAAATTTAAATAATAAATTAATATTCAATTCGAACAATTTAATTTTACCTTTGAGAGTCTCTTCGTTCAATTATTTTGGCGATTTTGCTACTTTACTTACTACGTGTATTGTGGTAATATTGCTAATATTTTAATCTTTTATAATAACTCCCTACATGTCATCTTAAATGACTTTTGAAGAGTTTACTTATACCGTATTTATTCTAATAGAATGGCCCCTCTAATAGAATGGCCCCTCCAATAGAATGGCCCCTCCAATAGAATGGCCCCTTCAATAGAATGGCCCCTTTTTGGGAGTATCAAAAAATAGAGTGGCGGCCATTATATTAGAATAAATACGGTAGTCCCTTTCAAAATATCGTCTTGATGTAAAAGGAATTGTATTCTTAAACGATTTTAGAGATCAGATTGAGACGTGATCTCAGCCATAACCTCGGGTTTTAAGGCCGAAATTCTCATTTGACAAAGAGATTTTTCGATTGGCGAGTCTAGATTTTTGAAATAGAGACCTAGAATCAGTGAAGTCATTGTCTCTAGTTTGTATTCATATGTTTTAGGAATATTCTGTAATTGGTGCTGCAATTATGATAACAATTTGGAAATCAATTGATAATAATTTGATTAATAAAACAAATAATTGTACTAATGAATATTTTAATTTATTGGCAACGAAAGCTCAATCTACAAAAACTACAAAAAATATCAGAATTGATTGCAGGTAATTACATCTTTTAATGAACTTTTTTCAGAGGCCTTGGTCAGGGATTTTATGGTCCGGTAACCTTATACCTGTTACTCTTTACGAATTATTAAGACAAAACCATAATTATAACTTGTCTTTGTCAAGTTAAAACTAAAAATCATTAAAACTTGGTCCGGATTTGTTAAGTTCGGGCTCTATTAATAACTAAAATTAGAGAAAAATTCACATAACTATTTTGAACTATCTTGACTATTACGGTCAAATCCCGATACAACGTCTACCACAAAGCTGATTAGCAGACGTAGATTCAACTGTATACTAAAATTCTTAAACAAATAATTTATTAAGTGCATCAAGCGGAGGTCTCTTTGCTGGACTCTTATTTTTAATTGCTTCTTTTGTATCAATTGGGATACATTCATTTTTCTCACAACACGAAGATCCAGATGGGGCTTTACTTGTCTTTCGACTTTCTGATATGGCCCTATTTTGTTGTACACTGATTGGTTGTTCTATTGGATTATTCAGGAAATTTACATAATTTTTGTTGAGATTTGTTAAAAAATTATTAATAATTGCCTATCTAATCGACTAGCATTTTTGTTTCCCAGAATCCACACCTAGACCCACAGAAAAACCTTCGCATTTTATTCGGTACATCTATGATGGATCGGGTTAGGAAACTTTTGGCCTTGGGTTGAGTTTACAAAATTTTCTTTGGATTCGAATCGAAAATGTCTGTGTTTCGAGCAACCCATTCTATCTCTGGTGTATTATAGTTTTAAATCTATTTCACTATGTATTTAGCTATTGTTAACATATACTACATGCCATATCTATTCTAATAATTATCCAGGGTAATTATTATAATATTAACATATACCTAATGAGAATAACTACAGTAAATAACTATTAAATAAATGCCAAATTTTAGAATGAATTCTCTTCAATATCAACCCCACGAAGAACAACAAAGGGCTACTAATACTGAATTTTTGGATGAAATTTTATTAGCAATTGGCCTTGTTGGGGAACTTATACACAGTTCAAGTTAAGAAAAATTTGTTGTTTTATAATATTAATTATTTATCAGCCGGTGTTATGTGTTGGATATCTACTCAATCGGATAAAGCACCCATTAAAATGGAGGTGTTTTTACTTTTTTAAACTTTACATAGTCCAAATCAGAGGTCGGTCGGAAATGACGAAGGTGCCGGAAATCGGAACTGTTTGAAATCCGAAATGGCTCAAAAGCCGGAAATCGGAATTCCGACCGACTCTGGTCCAAATATGATTTATAATTTTATATTTTCTTCACAGTTTTACATGTTATTTGTATTTATAACACGAATTATGCAAGTTGTAGTACAGTCAGTCTTTATACTTTTGTCAAGGAGGTATTGAGGGAAACTTTCTCTTAAAAATAAATTTTTTAATTACAAAGACTGCGCGCGTTGTCTCCCAAAACTCGTAGAGAAAAACCTGGAAAACAATTTGTTACATTTTTGCTTATTTCTAATGTTTCGTTATTCTTTTTCCATACACTTGAAGGAATGAAATCTGGTAATATTTGAATAAATTTATTTATTTTTAAAATGATTTTATAAAAGTTTTTGGCGACACAATTGCTACGAGACGGGCTAGACCTTATGCAAAGCTTATTGGTATGGTTTAAAGAGGATTACTTCTTTTAATTTTTGGGATGTTTGTATGGTTTTAATAAATTAATAGCTATTTTATAAATCAGAAATTTGTGTTAGGAAACTAAGTGAAAAAACGATATACTTGGAGGGGCCTTAATTCTACTCTATCTAATGCATAAACATTTACCCAAAGTTTTCCTAATAAATCTCAACTTTACTCTATATCAGTATAGCCCGTACCAAATAATTCAGCTTTTTCCAATGTTCCGGTCCCAAGCCCTTGTCATGCCTGCTGTTTGTTTCTATATTCAAAATTTTTCATAATTTTTGTATTTTATTTAAGTTGCCGTAGCACCATTAGTTGTTTTCTTTCGCTTCCATTCAAGGTTTAAAAAATTACATAAAATTTTTTCAAACTTATTTTTTCAGTGTTTGCCTGGCCGAAATATGGAAATATAGCTATAATAACAAAAATACTAATTTTGAAGACAAAAATAAATTTAAATATTTTTCTGAATTAAAAAAGAATTCAAATTCAGATATTTCAGATGTCAATATTTCTATTAAATCGTCATCTCCCTCAACTTCCTCTTCCTTTTCTTCTTCTGTTTTATCTTCAATATTAAATTAAAAAATAATTCAATAAAATTTTTTAATAAAATTTGCTTGCTTTTAATATTTTTTTTTGCCTTTTTGATTATTTTATAAGTGGAAATATTCTTTTACTAAATAAGCATTTGAAGTGCTACATATATTAAAAATAAAATATTCAAAAAATTATTTTTATTGCTAAAGCTAAAAGTGAATTTCCTGACGTTTACTTCTAGACATTTACTATGATTTCTGATGTTCAATTTTAAAAGGTTTTATTTCAGGACTTTACTAAAGTTCCGAACCTTTTGACTTGTATGCAGTGATGCGGGGGTTCCGGTTCCGGAATCAGTGCGGTTCCGGTTCGGGAAGTGGATTGTTTGGCCTACGACCCCAGAAATTCTCAAAATTTTCGCCTGCGGCGCTGATAAGTGAATTTTTTGGCCTACGACCTGGGAGTTTTCGTTTCTCTCAAGAAATTCCTGCATATTTGAACTCAGCTTGGCGAGACGAATCGAATGATATATACTTCGAGTTTCGATCTAGGTGGCCCTTACTAAAGTACAACCAAAATTTTTTGGAACTGGAACCGGGTTGGAACCGGTTCCAGAACCGGAATCGGCAAAATTATAAAAGCCAGACAGAACCGGAATCGAGTAAAATTAAAAAAGCGGTTCCAGAATTGTATGTATGTTCATTCTCCTATTGAGAGATCAAAATTTGTCTTTGGTGTATTATTAAATCGAATGTTAGAAATAGCCCATCTAAATCTCTAGATAAAAGATTATTAAGTTAGGTAGCCTGATTCATCCCGAACGATATTTGTCCTCTTCTGCTGACTCTACTGTTTTTAGTCTATGTACACTGCGGTGCATATGTTTATGCACACTAGTTTTTTGTTCATAAGTTTATGCACACTTATTCAAAAAATTGCATAAAATTATGAACAAAAAACTAGTGTGCATAAACATATGCACCGCAGTGTATATTGACTTCCGTCTTAAGATTTTTGTCGTTATCGAGATTCCACTTTTTTTTATTTTAAGCAATAAAAATTTCAAAGTTAATAATTCTCTATATCAAAAACTTCGATACTGATTTTTAAATTCTATTCCAATAAAAGCATTATAAATTTAATTAAAAAAGGAACATAATAAAAAAATTATAGAATATTCTACACAAATACATACATTTATAATTTTATTTACTTAAATATTAATTTAGGAACGTTTGTCTTTTATTCTTTTGTTAATCCGATTTATTAATTTAGCTTTTTTCCTTTTTATTTTTCTATTCTAAATTTTTCATTTTATTTATTTTATATTTATTTAAGTTGCTTCTTTAAATTTACATTAGGTTGTCTGATTGATTTTTATAAAGAAAAAATTTTTTTAAAATTTTAGAAAATTTTTGGAAATTTTTAGAGATCGGTAGATGATATTCGCAAAATATAAGTTCGACTAACGAGATCATATAAACTACCTTTATTGTAAATTTAATTAATTATATTAGGGAATAAAAAAACTAGAAATTTTTAAAGTCCGCAATTTTTATTTAATTGCGGATTTTTATCTTTAAGGCGGCAAAATTTTGAGGATTAAAATGGCCTTAAGAAAAAAATCCGCCAAGATGGGGCTCCCTCTAAATAACCCTAAATAGCTTCCCATAGCTCATAAACTAAGTATTTTTGGATAATTTCGAAGAAAATCTATTCGAAATAATAAAAATAAATATTTTATAACCCCGAAACTAACCCGAAATAAATCTCCATAGGGGGTAAACTAATTATTTTTGGATAATTTCGAATAGAATCCACACGTATTAATAAAATAATAGATTTCTACCCCTCTAAATAACCCTAGATAGCTTCCCATAGCTCATAAACTAAGTATTTTTGGATAATTTCGAAGAAAATCTATTCGAAATAATAAAAATAAATATTTTATAACCCCGAAACTAACCCGAAATAAATCTCCATAGGGGGTAAACTAAGTATTTTTGGATAATTTCGAATAGAATCCACACGTATTAATAAAATAATAGATTTCTACCCCTCTAAATAACCCTAGATAGCTTCCCATAGCTCATAAACTAAGTATTTTTGGATAATTTCGAAGAAAATCTATTCGAAATAATAAAAATAAATATTTTATAACCCCGAAACTAACCCGAAATAAATCTCCATAGGGGGTAAACTAAGTATTTTTGGATAATTTCGAATAGAATCCACACGTATTAATAAAATAATAGATTTCTACCCCTCTAAATAACCCTAGATAGCTTCCCATAGCTCATAAACTAAGTATTTTTGGATAATTTCGAAGAAAATCTATTCGAAATAATAAAAATAAATATTTTATAACCCCGAAACTAACCCGAAATAAATCTCCATAGGGGGTAAACTAAGTATTTTTGGATAATTTCGAATAGAATCCACACGTATTAATAAAATAATAGATTTCTACCCCTCTAAATAACCCTAGATAGCTTCCCATAGCTCATAAACTAAGTATTTTTGGATAATTTCGAAGAAAATCTATTCGAAATAATAAAAATAAATATTTTATAACCCCGAAACTAACCCGAAATAAATCTCCATAGGGGGTAAACTAAGTATTTTTGGATAATTTCGAATAGAATCCACACGTATTAATAAAATAATAGATTTCTACCCCTCTAAATAACCCTAGATAGCTTCCCATAGCTCATAAACTAAGTATTTTTGGATAATTTCGAAGAAAATCTATTCGAAATAATAAAAATAAATATTTTATAACCCCGAAACTAACCCGAAATAAATCTCCATAGGGGGTAAACTAAGTATTTTTGGATAATTTCGAAGAAAATTTATTCGAAATAATAAAGATAAATATTTTATAACCCCGAAACTAACCCGAAATAAATCTCCATAGGGGGTAAACTAGGTATTTTAGGATAATTTCGAATAGAATCCACACGTATTAATAAAATAATAGATTTCTACCCCTCTAAATAACCCTAGATAGCTTCCCATAGCTCATAAACTAAGTATTTTTGGATAATTTCGAAGAAAATCTATTCGAAATAATAAAAATAAATATTTTATAACCCCGAAACTAACCCGAAATAAATCTCCATAGGGGGTAAACTAAGTATTTTTGGATAATTTCGAATAGAATCCACACGTATTAATAAAATAATAGATTTCTACCCCTCTAAATAACCCTAGATAGCTTCCCATAGCTCATAAACTAAGTATTTTTGGATAATTTCGAAGAAAATCTATTCGAAATAATAAAAATAAATATTTTATAACCCCGAAACTAACCCGAAATAAATCTCCATAGGGGGTAAACTAAGTATTTTTGGATAATTTCGAATAGAATCCACACGTATTAATAAAATAATAGATTTCTACCCCTCTAAATAACCCTAGATAGCTTCCCATAGCTCATAAACTAAGTATTTTTGGATAATTTCGAAGAAAATCTATTCGAAATAATAAAAATAAATATTTTATAACCCCGAAACTAACCCGAAATAAATCTCCATAGGGGGTAAACTAAGTATTTTTGGATAATTTCGAATAGAATCCACACGTATTAATAAAATAATATATTTCTACCCCTCTAAATAACCCTAGATAGCTTCCCATAGCTCATAAACTAAGTATTTTTGGATAATTTCGAAGAAAATTTATTCGAAATAATAAAGATAAATATTTTATAACCCCGAAACTAACCCGAAATAAATCTCCATAGGGGGTAAACTAGGTATTTTAGGATAATTTCGAATAGAATCCACACGTATTAATAAAATAATATATTTCTACCCCTCTAAATAACCCTAGATAGCTTCCCATAGCTCATAAACTAAGTATTTTTGGATAATTTCGAAGAAAATCTATTCGAAATAATAAAAATAAATATTTTATAACCCCGAAACTAACCCGAAATAAATCTCCATAGGGGGTAAACTAGGTATTTTAGGATAATTTCGAATAGAATCCACACGTATTAATAAAATAATATATTTCTACCCCTCTAAATAACCCTAGATAGCTTCCCATAGCTCATAAACTAAGTATTTTTGGATAATTTCGAAGAAAATTTATTCGAAATAATAAAGATAAATATTTTATAACCCCGAAACTAACCCGAAATAAATCTCCATAGGGGGTAAACTAGGTATTTTAGGATAATTTCGAATAGAATCCACACGTATTAATAAAATAATATATTTCTACCCCTCTAAATAACCCTAGATAGCTTCCCATAGCTCATAAACTAAGTATTTTTGGATAATTTCGAAGAAAATCTATTCGAAATAATAAAAATAAATATTTTATAACCCCGAAACTAACCCGAAATAAATCTCCATAGCTCATAAACTAAGTATTTTTGGATAATTTCGAATAGAATCCACACGAATTAATAAAAATAATAGATTTCTACCCCTCTAAATAACCCTAAATAGCTTCCCTCCGCCAAGTTATACGCGTCCAAACTCTAACTGAATTTGCCAACTATGGTCGCGCACTCATCCACAATAATTGAATCCAAGCCCAGTTGCAATACCGTCTTTCACAACAAACGAAATCATAGGGAATTGCTTCCTGGCAAATTCCTTGCTTCCAAAATTGTTTAGAAGAGCCTTTTTCCACTATCTGTAATGGTGTGGGACGGGATTTATGCCACTGATCCCTAGGCACAACAACAATGGATCCCCGGGCACAGCAACAATGGTGTTGGACGGGATTTGTGCCATTGCATCCCTGGCAAAAACAATGACACATTGAGCAAAAACAATGACGGACCTCCGCGAAGAGTTGTTTCCGGGATTTTGGGGCAAAGCTATTTAGCCAAGTAACTCCCCAGATCTCAATTCTATGGACTAGTAGTTTAGTAATTATTGGAGCAGAGACTTCCATGGATACGATTTATATAAAAAAATGCAATTAAGAGGGATTGCAACTGGGCTGGGATTGAATTATTGTGGATGATGTTGTGTCCGCACTTGCAGAAAGAATATAAATGAAAATAAATAACCCAGCATTGGGTTGGATGGTGGCACAGTCGGTTGTGCTTCGGTTTGGGCTCATTCCTTGATGGTTCAATTCCATCTCCCATCCACAATTTTTCCACAGCATGAAAACATCGGACACTTCAGAAGGAGTGTTGTGTCCGCACTTGCAGAAAGAATATAAATGAAAATAAATAACCCAGCATTGGGTTGGATGGTGGCACAGTCGGTTGCGCTTCGGTTTGGGCTCATTCCTTGATGGTTCAATTCCATCTCCCATCCACAATTTTTCCACAGCATGAAAACATCGGACACTTCAGATGAGTGCGCGACCATAGTCAAATTCAGTTAGCATTTGGACACGTATATCTTGGAGGAGGGAAGAAATTTTGGACATTTGTTACAATTTTTCTTTTCCTTAGATAGTAATGAATAATTTTTCGTAGATTGTATAAAATTTAAAAAAATATTTGAAATAAACTATTATTTATGCATAATAAAAGTACGGGAACTTTTGCCGCACCATGTAGATTTCTACCCCTCTAAATAACCCTAAATAGCTTCCCATACCTCATAAACTATGTATATATTTTTAAATTATTTATAGCATTAAAAATTTTAAATAAAAATAACAAAATTTATTTTAAATACATAATTCAAAAAACATATATAATAAATGGGAGCAACACAAAGCTCGGGAACTAAACTTTCTTTAGCTGATCGTCGTTATAAAGTTAATAGTCCAAGAGGTTATAAAATAATTTCAGTAAAAATTGTTTTTGTTATTTTTAGCAGATTCGTTATTAGTTCAGCAACGTCATAGTGGTCGCAAATTAGGTGGAGTGGCATTGGAGGTTAAGTAGAATTATTTTCTTATATGAGAATAGCCCATTATAAATCTTTTTCTTTATTCATAATCTCACTAATTGAGATTGAGTTGGGTAGGGGACAAGGTCTGTGATTTCCTCGACCTAGGATCTACCTGATTCAAATCCTTGCCCAGATTTTTTTAAATCTTATTCTCAAACACAAATATTTTTTCAAGACTATTAGGTGTGAATCAGAATAGCTGAGAGGAATATTAAGCCTCTAAGCAAGCCGAATATTTACAAGAGTTTTATTATAGTCAGTGTCCCGGATACAAACTATTCCCCATCTTAATCTATTAAAAATTTTAAGCCTCGAGATAACCCACAATGCAGTTCTACAACAAAAGAATCGTTTCAATTAGATGACGATTCACAACAGGCTATAATTTTTGATATGGAAACTTTGGAAGCGGGAGATAAAAATCGACGAAGAAAATCTGGCTCTAATGGAAGCACTAATTCAAACGATACATTAAATAGGCAAAACCAAAATTTACAAATGGCTAGAATCGAGAATTCAGCCTCAGTCTTAACTATTTTATTAACTCGTACTCAACGTGTTCTTATTGAAAACAGCTGGAAAAGGGCTAAAAAAGTGCTTAAAATAATAATATTTAATTATTTTCGAATTTGTCTAAGGGAGCCGCTGATGGTGGTGTGGGTTCACGAGTTTTTCACACAGTTTTGACAGCACAACCAGATATTAAATTGCTTTTTGGGCTGGAAAAAGTACCACAAGGTATTACGATACATCCACTTTAGAGACTTTTTTTCAAAGGTCGCCTTAAATACGAAGGACAATTTCGAAGGCATGCAAGTGTTCTTACTCGTGCATTAGAATATATCGTCAAAAACGTGCAATATACAGACAAATTAGGCATTCATTTCCAGGCGTTAGGTAAAAAACATTGTCAAATGAATGGCGGAAGAGCTTTTCCTACACATTATTGGGATACATTTCTTGAGTAATTTTTATATTTATTTAGGTATATACACTTAGGGATGGGTATATTTATGATTCTTTCGAATATTGCATACAAACAAAGTTAATTTCTGAAGATACCATTTTTAATTGAGGAAAAATATTTTTATTGCGGACCATAAGAGATAAAAATGCATTTAATAAATAATAATATTAAAGGCTTAGGAAAATTTTCAATCATTGAAGCCCTAAATATTTTTTCTAAATTACAATTAAGTAACCATTAGGAGGATAACCAACACGTAAAATATAAGTAAATTATTAAGGTGTATTATACAAAGTCTTCTGGAATGTGATGGCACTAGTGGGGGAAGGAAGCATCGATGTAGAGAGACTGCTATGGCTTGGAGAAATTTGGTTTGGGGATCTAAATACTAAAATTCCAGGAAGATATTTTCCAGATTTCCTTCATAGTCCAACAAATGAGAAGAGGTTTTGAAGATGAGCGTTTGTTGCGCAAACGCTTCTCTGCTTCCTTAATGGGCATTCGTGGTATTAAGGGTAATTGTATTAAATCTAGTGGGAATTCAAGCGAGCGAAGTCTAAAATCGTCAGGCAAGATTGAAAATTTTTTCAGATAATATTCCTCTTTTATAGGACGTCCTTTAGTCTCTAAAATAAATCAAAATGTTTTACATCAATCTTTTGGTTCCCTTGATGATTATTCCTTTCCTTTCACCTCAAATAATTTTAACAATAATACAGGTGAGATTACTTTTGGACTTATCTTTTATAAAAATTCTCAATTTATTTTCTCTAAGATTTATCTTCTTCAAATAATGGCATCCCTGTTTATAAGGTTAATGGACGAGTACGTGCATGCTCTTCTATTTCGCCGTTGGTCGCAGAAACCTTTACTAAAGATGAAAGTAAAAATAAATTTTTTAGATATTAATAGGCAACTTTACTTTGATTGGGTTATACTTAGGAAAGGTGACGTTTTTGGAAATCAGGATAAAAGCTCGGATATCTGAAATCGTATGTTTTAGATCAGAGCCATTCATCTTGAGTACCGTAGTTCCTTCATTAGAATGCCATGGCATTCTATTTTTCAATCACCTTCAAGAGTGGCATTCTAATATGTATGTACATAGAGGAGATACGATATTTTGAGTTGATTTTTTGTTTTGATGTGCGTTTCTGAAATTGTCTTTTGCTCGCATCCTTGTTTGAATATCGTTTGCAGGCTTTTCAAGGACGAGCATATTTACGGACCTATATTCCCAATTGTTTATAAAAAATGACCCTTAAAAAATAATTTTTATTCTTCTTAATCTTTTCAATTTCCGGTAATTCACACCAATATAATTTCGATCGACTTCTTCCTTCTCATCAACTCAGAAAGAGTGGAGACATCTCTACTCTAAATAATAATAAAATTCAAAATCCATCAGCATCATCTGCCCGAAGTGCTTCTTGGTGCGCCGAAGTAAGTGCCGAGCAAATGCAAAAAATGAAAATTAGCGGAGGAAATAATTCTCAAGAGGATGAAGGATTGACAATATTAAATAATAATTCAAGAGTTTCTTGGAGTGTTTCAAGCATTGATGGCGTCACTGAAATATTTTATACACCAAAAACTATTCGGAATAATTCTCCAAAATTTGAAGGAGACGAAATTGGTAAAGAGAATCTTAAAATAATTTTTGTGAAAATGATACGGCTTAATCTTTAAGAGTAGGATTTATTTGGGTCACTCAGTTATTTTTTGTGGTATTTTCGGCAGTGGTACCTTGGCATCAGGGGTGTGCCGAAACGGATTTTAAAAAGCGAAACGCGAAAGGCGAAATTAAATTTAAAAAGTGAAACGCGAAATGCGAAACGCGAAAGTAAATTTAAAAAAGCGACACGCGAAACGCGAAAGTCCAAAAAACGCGAAAATCCGCGAAAGGCGAAACGCGAAACGCGAAATTCTTACAATTTTCCGATACGCTGAAAAATCTTTAAGGATCTATCAACTCAGTGCTTTGTTCCAAATCAAAGCCTCAACTGAATCTTACAATCACCATTAGGATTTTGTCAGGCATCCGGGATATCAAGGGATTTGAGGGGATATCAGACATAAACCAGGTTCAATCCTTTATTTTATATCCTATATTTCAGGATATTCAGAAGTCCGTACCTCGCTTTGAAAACATTTCAGTAGAATTGAACTGGAATTTTAGTGGTTTACGTTTTAGTATTTGTGTGGATTAAGAGGGACTCACAAAGGAGACGGACACCCAAAAGGCTCTCCTTTGTCAGGAGTATTTAGGTAAATTCCGAAGGATATAGAGGATTTGAGTGATAGTGGATCTAGGGGAATATCGGGCGACAAACTTATGGCAAGGTTCTTCCATTTTTAGCGCCGCAGGCAAAAATTTTGTGAATTATGGTAAACCAAGGCTCCAGATTTTTTCCTCTTCTTGCGCCGCTGGCGAAAATTTTGAGAATTTTGAAGGTCCTTAAGCCAGATTACTTCTTTTTTCAGCGCCGCAGGCGAAAATTTTTTGAATTTTGGAAATCCTTAAGTTAGATTTCATCTCTTTTCTGCGCCGCAGGCGGAAATTTTAAGAATTTTGGAAGTTTACAATTTATTCGGGCCTCATTTTTCTCCAACTTTACCATCTTTCACCTGTCATTAGGGGTGTATAAAACTTTCGCATTTCGCGCAAAACGCGAAACGCGAAACGCGAAAGTCCAAAAAACGCGAAAATCCGCGAAAGGCGAAACGCGAAACTCGCACACCCCTGCTTGGCATGTTCCCAATTTATAAAAACCTAGACCCTAATTTAACTAGAATATCAAAGGAAGTCAAGAAACGTGTAGCAATATCAAATTTTCTTCGGGTTGGATTTAAGCCTAATGCCACCTAGATAATTAACTCATTTTTTTAACGGCATGACCCAGTTGCTAACAATAAATGAAAAAATTTATTTTAGATCAACAAACTATTCCCGGGCCAGCATTAACAGCAATTAAATTACTTTTGGATTCTACTGCAACGGCTGGAGATGAACATTTAATTGTAGATAAAGGTAAATTAAGCGAGTATGGAACAGTGCATTACGAAATTTCTTAAATTTCGAATTTTCGTAGATTAGCTATTAAATTTTAGCGGATATTTAAGAAAAAATATAGAAAACTAGCCAAAAAGTATGACTAATTATTTTTTAGAAATTTGAATTTTAGAAAAAAATTTTGAAGGGGTATTATTTTAGAGAAATACGGTATATGGAGAGTTGACTATTTTTATTTAGAAAATCCTTATCATTTTGAAAAATAAAAATAATTTATTTATTATAGATACAATTCCAACATCTACCCAATTATTATATGCTCGACATTCATTTTCTAATTTTGCGACTGATGAGAATACTAAAAGAGGGGAAGAACAAAGAAATGCAGCTTTTGATGTTTCTCAAAAACTTTTGGGTGTAGCACAAACAGATACTTCTTCTACAAATGACAAATCATCCCCTTCACAAATAAGGCGCCTCTCGGCACTTTAAAATAATTTTAATTAAAATATTCAGAATAATATAAACGTTTTTGAATGCTTTTTGTTTTTAATTTAACTCCAGCCGGTCTTGTAAAAATGAGGGCTGTAATATACCGGTAGTATTATATACCTCTCTCTTTTTCTGGGGATGCCTGTGGACCTACTACCCATGTCACACACTTTCCAAATTACTCACTGTCAATTCACCACCCAATTCTCTACAGCCTAAACCACATGGCACTAATTAAACATCTAGAAATAAATATCTTTGTGATCTTAAGTCAGTTGATCTTATGGGCAAGAGGGTAGTGCGGCCGACCAACCCTTTATTGATTCTGACACAGGGAGAATACACAGCGAGTAAACATTTCTATGCCATATAGTGCCTGAACTATATAAACAAGTCATTCCAAAACCTTAAATTCATTTGGCCCAAAACTTTTATACTCATTAGCCCCTAAATCTTCAAATTAACAGTTTTTAATGGAACAACAAAATAATTCAATAAAACAAAGAAAATTTCTGCCAGTCGAACTGAAGTATTTAACACAGCCAGTAATATTTCTTTAAATGATTTAAAATTGAGGTAATAAATGTGGAAATATTTTAATGGGTAAAAAATCAGAATTGAATTTGAATTTTATTAAAAATTATTCTTCCATTAAAATTCAATATTACAAGATAAATTCTGATATTAAGCAATTTATATATATATAATAGTTTTTAAACTCAGACAAAAAAAACTTCAGCGGTCCCACTAGCGGTCGTACCTCCCTGAAACTTGCACATTGTTCACGGTTGTTGACGAGGCGCATCCGAAATAATTATTGATTTTTCCCTACGCCGGCGCCTTCGCGCCGAAACGACCCCTGGGACCTGGCTATCTCGTGAACCGGAAGAGATAGCGAAAAACTTCCGCTTAGAGGGCCCTGACCCGCATTTAGTAGATGTCGAATAAAAAAAAAATTTCGAAAAAATTCGAACTCTAAGATACGATATGCTTGTCTAACCCTTTTTAAATGGTGGTCAAATGTCGCGCCATAGGGTAGCGGTCTTTTGTACAATTTCTATATCTCTGAAACCACGCCGCAGATTTGGATGGGACCTGGGGGTATTAGGTAAACGGCCATGAGAAATTTAATGGGCATGGCCATTTTGGTGCCGCACTCGAGTGTGGCACTGAAATGGCCGGATGAAAATTTCAAAAGCTTTTAACGGGTTTTTGAGAAGTGGGGTGTTCTTGGGCCTGGGAGTGATGTTGGAGGGTAGAGTGTTGGGAAGTTATCGGGTGTTGACCACTTGAGTCTCAGATGAAGTTTTGGGGGTCATATGGGTCAAAGAGTCGGGGTCGAAAAACCTACTTTTTGTAACGTGAATTAAAACGCGTTTTCGATAGCCAGTTCGAAAGAGCGTCCCGTGGGGCTCCGAAAAAGGTATAATATGTTGGGGGTCCACTTGAGTCTTAAAAAGTTATAGCGAATGTGGCCAAATGTCGCAAAACTTTATGAGACTCTAACGTCACGGGGAAATTTTTTAAAATTTTTTCGAGGCCGGATTCGTACTCAGCGCATGTCAGAGTACCATATAGGCCTATTTTTGACCCAAAATTCCAAAATTTTGTCCCCCACCCTATTTCCACAGGGGTACCCCTTTTGGGGAATTTTCGGGATTTTTAGGGGACCTTAACTTTTTTTGGGATTATCGGGTTGGGATGGGGTTTCCTTTGAAAAATCGAGTAAAAAATTAGGTATTTTTTCACCGAAGAAAATTTCGAAAAAATTCGAAATTGGAGGTGTAAGGGTCGAATTTCGAAAAACCCAAAATTTTTCGGTTTTTCGAAAAAATTTCGGGATTTTTGCCGGCGGTAAGGGGCATAGGTATTTTTTCTTGATAGAGCAGATTTTTCTGCATAGAATGAGCTTTTAAAATTATTAAAAAAGATTAACTTTGAGAAAGTTATGATTTTTTGAAAATTTCGGCGATTTTTACGGCCAAAATTTTCGGCCAAAAAAATAATTTTTGCAAAATGGCCACAGATGGGCCAAATGTTATAACAATCGAAAGCTCTCATCGAGCTGAGCTTAAAATATTTTTTTCGAAATTTTCTGACCATTTTGTACAAAGTTACAAAAGGTCGGAATTTCGGGTGTGGGTGGTACTATACCCAGTGGGGTAACCAAAACGTTGGGAACCAAAATGGTGCCCAACGGTGGGTAGGGGGGAGACGAGGGCCGAAGGCCCGAAGTGACCAAAATGAGTCCCAACGGTGGGGAAGGGGGGAGGGGGACGAGGGCCGAAGGCCCGAAGTGACCCAAAATGGGTCCCAATGATGTGGCGGGTGAGAGACCGAAGTGACCCAAAATGGGTCCCAACGATGGGGAGGGGGAGAGACCGAAGTGGCCCAAAATGGGTCCCAACGGTGGGGAGGGAGGGAGACGAGGGCCGAAGGCCCGAAGTGACCTAAAATAGGTCCCAACGATGGGGAGGTTGAGAGACCGAAGTGACCCAAAATGGGTCCCAACGGCGGGGAGGGAGGGGGGGCGAGGGCCGAAGGCCCGAAGTGCGCCAACTTGTAAAAATGGGCCCAACGGTGGGGAAGGGGTGGGGGGAAGAGGGCCGAAGGCCCATAGTGCGCCAACATGTAAAAATGGGTCCCAACGGTGGGGAAGGGGTGGGGGGAAGAGGGCCGAAGGCCCATAGTGCGCCAACATGTAAAAATGGGTCCCAACGGTGGGAAGGAGGGAGGGAGGGAGGGGGGAAAGGAGGGAGGGGGGGATATAGGGAGGGGGGGATATATATAGGAGGGAGGGGGGGATATATAAAGGAGGGAGGGGGGGATATATATATAATAGTTTTTAAACTCAGACAAAAAAAACTTCAGCGGTCCCACTAGCGGTCGTACCTCCCTGAAACTTGCACATTGTTCACGGTTGTTGACGAGGCGCATCCGAAATAATTATTGATTTTTCCCTACGCCGGCGCCTTCGCGCCGAAACGACCCCTGGGACCTGGCTATCTCGTGAACCGGAAGAGATAGCGAAAAACTTCCGCTTAGAGGGCCCTGACCCGCATTTAGTAGATGTCGAATAAAAAAAAAATTTCGAAAAAATTCGAACTCTAAGATACGATATGCTTGTCTAACCCTTTTTAAATGGTGGTCAAATGTCGCGCCATAGGGTAGCGGTCTTTTGTACAATTTCTATATCTCTGAAACCACGCCGCAGATTTGGATGGGACCTGGGGGTATTAGGTAAACGGCCATGAGAAATTTAATGGGCATGGCCATTTTGGTGCCGCACTCGAGTGTGGCACTGAAATGGCCGGATGAAAATTTCAAAAGCTTTTAACGGGTTTTTGAGAAGTGGGGTGTTCTTGGGCCTGGGAGTGATGTTGGAGGGTAGAGTGTTGGGAAGTTATCGGGTGTTGACCACTTGAGTCTCAGATGAAGTTTTGGGGGTCATATGGGTCAAAGAGTCGGGGTCGAAAAACCTACTTTTTGTAACGTGAATTAAAACGCGTTTTCGATAGCCAGTTCGAAAGAGCGTCCCGTGGGGCTCCGAAAAAGGTATAATATGTTGGGGGTCCACTTGAGTCTTAAAAAGTTATAGCGAATGTGGACAAAATTTTCCCAAAATTCCAAAATTTTGTCCCCCACCCTATTTCCACAGGGGTACCCCTTTTGGGGAATTTTCGGGATTTTTAGGGGACCTTAACTTTTTTTGGGATTATCGGGTTGGGATGGGGTTTCCTTTGAAAAATCGAGTAAAAAATTAGGTATTTTTTCACCGAAGAAAATTTCGAAAAAATTCGAAATTGGAGGTGTAAGGGTCGAATTTCGAAAAACCCAAAATTTTTCGGTTTTTCGAAAAAATTTCGGGATTTTTGCCGGCGGTAAGGGGCATAGGTATTTTTTCTTGATAGAGCAGATTTTTCTGCATAGAATGAGCTTTTAAAATTATTAAAAAAGATTAACTTTGAGAAAGTTATGATTTTTTGAAAATTTCGGCGATTTTTACGGCCAAAATTTTCGGCCAAAAAAATAATTTTTGCAAAATGGCCACAGATGGGCCAAATGTTATAACAATCGAAAGCTCTCATCGAGCTGAGCTTAAAATATTTTTTTCGAAATTTTCTGACCATTTTGTACAAAGTTACAAAAGGTCGGAATTTCGGGTGTGGGTGGTACTATACCCAGTGGGGTAACCAAAACGTTGGGAACCAAAATGGTGCCCAACGGTGGGTAGGGGGGAGACGAGGGCCGAAGGCCCGAAGTGACCAAAATGAGTCCCAACGGTGGGGAAGGGGGGAGGGGGACGAGGGCCGAAGGCCCGAAGTGACCCAAAATGGGTCCCAATGATGTGGCGGGTGAGAGACCGAAGTGACCCAAAATGGGTCCCAACGATGGGGAGGGGGAGAGACCGAAGTGGCCCAAAATGGGTCCCAACGGTGGGGAGGGAGGGAGACGAGGGCCGAAGGCCCGAAGTGACCTAAAATAGGTCCCAACGATGGGGAGGTTGAGAGACCGAAGTGACCCAAAATGGGTCCCAACGGCGGGGAGGGAGGGGGGGCGAGGGCCGAAGGCCCGAAGTGCGCCAACTTGTAAAAATGGGCCCAACGGTGGGGAAGGGGTGGGGGGAAGAGGGCCGAAGGCCCATAGTGCGCCAACATGTAAAAATGGGTCCCAACGGTGGGGAAGGGGTGGGGGGAAGAGGGCCGAAGGCCCATAGTGCGCCAACATGTAAAAATGGGTCCCAACGGTGGGAAGGAGGGAGGGACGAGGGCCGAAGGTCCGAAGTGACCCAAATTGGAAAAATGGGTCCAACGGTGGGGAGGGGGGCGAGGGCCGAAGGCCCGACGCGCGCCCATCTAAAATGAAGGGACCAATGCGACGCCCATCTAAGAGTGTGGGCGAGGGCCGAAGGCCCGACGCGCGCCCATCTAAAAAGAGGGGACCAATGCGACGCCCATCTAAAAGTATGGGCGAGGGCCGAAGGCCCGACGCGCGCCCAT